AGACAATCTGTCAGGATTAACACAGGTTCACCAACCTAATATCCTTATTAATGAAGGCTGAAGATTGTTTACTCGACAGCAAAATTCTGCATATCTACTGATGCGTATTTATCTGAGGGCAATTTTCTAGCTGTGTTCAGTAGCTCAATCATCTCTTAAATCAGCAGAGACATTGAAGAATAACATGCTTTGTACAGCCAAAATGATAATGGCATATGCAGTCAGTGTATGTTCTGTGCCGAATTCACAGTTATACAATATACCCTTGTGGATCAGGGTAATTTTACATTGGTTTTCAGGAGAGCAAGGCACCATCCAAGCTTAAAATTTATAGCCCATACAGTACAGCTCAATCCCGCTTCGTAGGAGAACCAGACACTATATTGACTTTAATGCTACAATCTAAAAAGTACAGCTCAATGGTGTGGTGCAACAACGCAGATGCCAAGCACCTGTAGCGTGGTGTCGAGTTGAGCTGAACTATGAACACCGCTACCAGACTACTTGCCAATAGACCAATAAAATTCCGATAGGCCAAAATATCAGAAGGCAGATGATTGTAGTAGTCGTATATATTTGTTGGCGATCTCGTGGTATCGAAAGAATACCGAGATCGTGCCAAAGGAGTACAAGCGTGGTTACTGAGCGTAACCGGATTCGTACAAGTTCGAAGTCAACGGGAGAGTAAGTATAATGGCTGTCATTAGCACAGTTAAACAAACGAGCACAGTAAAACAGTCACTGGTACAATTGGTTATAATAATAATTGTTTTCATCGAACCAATCGCGTTCTGTTGACAAAAGTAGGTCACTACAGGAGCCCCCCGCTAGAAAGGGTTTACACTTTCGATAGTTAGCGGTTTGATTCGTGGGACTGATCGGCAGAATTGCGGTTGTAGGACGGAGGAAATTGGCGGAACAGGAAGTGATCACTGATCCTCGAGTTGCCAACGAAGGTCTTTTGCGCAGAACGGTACCAGGAGAAGTGTGCTGTATTTGTTGGTAGAGTTAGCATACCACACCAGAGTGGTTTGTATCCAGGATCTGATGATTGCGTTCGTATGGATGCGGACCAGATAACGCTGCAGACGTAGGACGAAACCACGTTGAGCCAAGAAACCGGACGCGACCATAACTACCAAGCATATGCCAGGCGGGTTCGAGACCAGATAATCGACTGAGTGCGTTGACTAGAGCGTGGGTGGCCAAACCAGCTTTCGCCAAAGTTGACTGAAGTCGACGTTATCAAATGGACGATGGTCGTAGGCGTGGGCTCAGGATACAAAAAAAAATCAAAAAAAAGAAAAGTGTAGCATGCGTGTAGTATAGGAATAATCCTACACTGTATCCGTTATTGACTGTGCGGTTAGTCGCGAAAGCGTACGGTAATCGTACTCGGCGACCAGAACGTGAGACGGTGGTCTCGTTCGTACTTCGTGCGCCTGCGATCTCATCCGAGGTCAAGGGCGGCGTGGTCTGCCGATCTGGACGTGAGACGGAAGTCTCGTCCGTAGATGGTGCAGATGACGCGTGCTGTTGACCGGGACGTGAGAACGAGGTCTCTGATGTATCTAGCGTGGGATCCGAGGTAGACGTAGAGATCCCGCTAGAAGGTTTGGTAGGTCTAGCATTGAGTCTCAAGTTATCGGGTAGGGCACTGTCATCGACGTGTGCTGGTTTGAGACGATCAATGCTGACGATCTCGACGCGGCCGTGTCGATCAACCTTGAAGGTCTTTTCGTGACGAGAGATCACGTGAAAAGGGCCTTCGTAAGGTTGTTGCAAAGGTTTGCGTACCGAATCTACTCGTATGAAAACATGTGAACAGGTAGATAACTCTCGAGGGAGAGCGACCTGTCGATGTTGTATTCGAGTTGACACCGGAGACAGCGTTCGCATAAATGCAGACAGTCGATGGACGTAGTCTGATTCACCGAAATCATTACTGCTCCGTGGTGTAAAGAATTCCCCAGGCAGACGCAATGTCGTGCCGTATACAAGTTCAGCGGCGGAACATTGGATATCTGCCTTCAAACTCGTTCTGATGCCTAAGAGAACGAGCGGTAAGGTTTCGTACCAATTGTCGTTTTCGTGTGCTCGGAGAGCACATTTAAGTTGGCGATGAAACCTTTCGACTAAACCATTCGATGCTGGATGGTAGGCGGTGGTGCGTATGCGTTCCGTACCAAGCAGCCGGGTCAGTGAGGAGAATAATGCGGACTCGAATTGTTGTCCTCGGTCAGTCGTGACAGTCGAGGGACAACCGTACAATGCTATCCATCGTTCTACGAAGCGGTGAGCAACTGTCTCCGCCGTGATAGACGTGATGGGAATAGCTTCGGGCCATCTTGTAAAACGGTCAATGCACGTGAGTATGTGATCATACCCATGCGATGGTGGCAATGGTCCTACAATGTCTATATGAACGTGATCAAAGCGAGCATCAGGCGTAGCGAACGTGCCAGTGGGGGCAGCTACGTGCCTGTGCACTTTTGATCGTTGACACTGTAAGCATTGCTTTACCCACATACGAACATCTTTATTCATGGACGGCCAGACGTATCGTGCAGCGATGAGACGTAATGTGGCTGCGATACCTGGATGAGACAATCCATGAAGGGCATCGAAGACGAGACGGCGATAGGTAGAGGGTACGATGGGTCGAGGTAGACCGGTAGAAATATCACATAGGATAGTACCTGAGCTAGTAGCTAGGGGTACTTCCTGACACTGAAGGGACGAAGATTGTGGTGCTTCTGTACAGACAGGATCGTTTGCTTGCGCGGCCGCCATAGCAGGAAGATCGAGCACCGGTGAAGTAACTGCATTCGTCTGGATACGTGAAAGAGCATCGGCAACGTAGTTCGACTCGCCTTTAATGTGACGAAGGTCTGTCGTGAACTGGGAGATATAGTCCAAATGTCTGCACTCTCGTGGTGAGTAGCGGTCAGACTTGGTATGCAGGGCATACGTTAAGGGCTTATGGTCGGTGAATAAGATGAATTGACGTCCTTCTACTGCGTGCCGGAAATGTTTGATGGCGCAGTAGGCTTCTAGCAGTTCGCGACCAAAAGCGCTATATCTCGTCTCCATGGGAGTAAGGCGTCGTGAGAAAAATTTGAGCGGTTGCCAACTCCCGGAGATATTCTGTTGCATAACGGCTCTTATAGCGAAATCCGATGCATCAACCGCTATACTAAGCGTGGCTGGTGGGTCAGGATGAGCGAGGAGTGTAACTTCAGCGAGAGCCGTTTTGATCTCTGAGAATGCAGTACGTGCGGTATCGTTCAATTCTAATTTGCGTGGATTACCGCGTAGTAAATCGGTTAATGGTCGTAACCGTTCTGCCGCGTGAGGGATAAAACGTCGGTAGAAGTTAACCAAACCGAGAAAAGCCTTCAGTTCCTTGAGTGAGGACGGCACGTTGTACTCCTTGATTGCTCGAACTTTGTCCTCGCAAGGTAGAATACCCTCTTGTTTGATGATGTGACCCAGAAATATTATTTCTGATTTACCCAATTCACATTTTTCTGGGTTGACTACTATTCCATTATCCGAAAGACGTTGGAATAATAGCGTAAGGTGTTGATAATGTTCATCTACGTTTGATGATGCGATCAGCAGGTCATCAATATAGACGTGAACAAAATCCAAGTCTCGTACTATGCTATCGATAAACCTTTGGAAAGTTTGAGCAGCATTCCGTAATCCAAATGGCATTCGTAGGAACTCAAACAGACCGAAAGGAGTCGTGATAGCAGTTTTTTCGATGTCTTCAAGAGCGACTGGGATCTGGTGATATGCTCGTACCAGATCGATTTTAGAAAAGATAGTCGTGCCCTTGAGCGATGCCGTGATGTCGTGTATGTGGGGGATGGGGTAGCTATCAAAGCGCGTAACTACGTTTAATGCTCGGTAGTCGCCGCAAGGTCTCCAACTAACCCCATCCTTCTAGCGCACCATGTGTAAAGGAGAGGCCCAAGGACTGTGAGAAGGACGAATAATACCAGCAGATAGTAAATTGTCAAACTCACGTTTAGCGAAAGCTAATTTGTCCGATGCCAGTCGGCGTGGTCTTGCCGTGACTGGTGGTCCGCGGGTGACTATGTGGTGTACCACACGATTGGTCACCGATGAAATCTCCTCGAGTGGTTTAGTTAATCTGGGGAATTTCTCGAATAAGGCGTGGAATTTATCGTCACGCGAATAAAAAGTGCCGAGGATTCGGTACGCGTACATCGGAGTCTATTATATTAATACTATTCTTATCGTTATCCGTCATGTCAAATATATATATTAAAAATTAATATGGAAATATATGACAGACGTGGATAGATAAGCGATAGACTCACCAAAATTGACTTCTTTGGAAGGTTTGGTTGCGATTGCCAAGTGGTCGTAGATGTAGGTTCACCAGTTGCAGAAGATTTGACCGAAGTTGAGGCGTGTTCCAAAATTTGGGTCACCAAATGTAGCGTGGTGTCGAGTTGAGTTTGACTATGAACACCGCTACAAGACTACTTGCCAATAGACCAATAAAATTCCGATAGGCCAAAATATCAGAAGGCAGATGATTGTAGTAGTCGTATATATTTGTTGGCGATCTCGTGGTATCGAAAGAATACCGAGATCGTGCCAAAGGAGTACAAGCGTGGTTACTGAGCGTAACCGGATTCGTACAAGTTCGAAGTCAACGGGAGAGTAAGTATAATGGCTGTCATTAGCACAGTTAAACAAACGAGCACAGTAAAACAGTCACTGGTACAATTGGTTATAATAATAATTGTTTTCATCGAACCAATCGCGTTCTGTTGACAAAAGTAGGTCACTACACACCCTTATGGACCATGGTGTATCTCGAAATTTCTTAATCAATAAACTCTAGCTCATCGGAATTCCGGTACATCTATTGAATCGGACTTAAATGTTTTCCATGAATAAATACTGAAAAATTAAAAACTGCGACATTTACACATAGGTCAATAACTAATGGAGCTATGCAGGACAGTACCTTTAGTTCACATTTTGAAATAATCCACATCAACACTATATGCAGATGCTTTCACTCGGGAAAACATCCTGGCAGATAGATAAAATAAATTAACAGGGCTACCTAATAAGGCTCAACAAACCATCAAAGGTTAGCGATGATTGCCTATTGAACAGCGTCTAACATAAGTTATTACGTTACGGAGTCTCAGGACTATTAGCGGCGCACTTTTTTATGGGGGATTATGACCTCAAGTTCCCCAGAAATTAATGTTAAGATCGACCCAGAGGTTTTAGAGATCCAGAAAAAGATATATAAAGAACTTTTACTGAAACAGGCAGATGTTAAGAGAGGGAGTAAATTCCTTCCGATAGATATTGAGCCATTTAAATTTCAACGACATCGTTTGGCACTACCTTTCACAGATGAAGACCGCGCTGCTAGAAAACAGTATCTTAATGATCAGTTATTGTCAGAGAGGGAACCAGTAAGTGTTCCTGAGTGGACGCGTGTCAACATATTTCGAAGGATATATAGAATGCCTTTTGATGCTCTTACAAATCTAGTTAGACCCATAATCGTAAGTCTGCATCAGATTTTATTTCACGTTAAGGGAGATCATAAAAGTTGGTACTTTCGTGCTACTGTACCGAAGGTTACATGTACATTAATATTGTTTTGGTTCGCATGGTATCGTATCAAATACTGTGATGTATGTTACGTATTTATCGTTAATCATTGCGCAGAACTGGGAAACGTACGCCAAATCAGTAAAATCTAGAGCTTATAGAAGGCAAAAGTGGCCAGTAAGTTTCCAGAATATTTAATTATGTGTCCTAGGGTCAACCGGGATTTTATGATGCTTTGAAAGTAGACGATTTCGGAATGGAAGGCTTTGATAAGAGAACTGCTCTCCTTGGAGATAAGTTGGTTACCAGCGGAGCTTGAAATCTTAATATGCTTTTAGGAAGCCTAAAATATAACTGTAGTTCAAATCTCAAGTTCTTTTGATTGTAGGAAAAATGTGTCAATAATACGGAGGTTTTTCTTGTAATATAGGAAGTGTATAAAGTTATTTAGAAGCTTGATGTTTGAAAAATGAGTAAGTAACATCGCGTGGTTTCGGAGTCGTTGAAATTTACGTCCTTGTGGATGTGAGACGCCGTCTCACATTCCAATAGTTGTGTTAATCTACAGCAGTCAGCCACAACGTAGAACCTAGTACTTTGGGTATCTGTCCGAAGTGCTATACCTCGTTAGCATAGATGAATAAAATTGCCTGTACAAATCCCGGAATCGTAGGTAGTAACAATACCAGTGGTAACAGGAGAGATTAAGCATCAAAAATGCGATTCAAGAAAATGTTAATTAGTGAGACAGAAGCAAGGTCATAAAGAATTTAGAATCAGAATTTGGGAGAAGACGTGCCTGCGCCATCGCAGACAATTTTGAACCGTGTCGTCCAAAGTCTCTGACCGCATTCCATTATTTACTTGTATAGTTGCTTTAGGTGGTAAAACTGGAACGGTCAGCGATCGGGATCAGTTAAATGGGATTATGTCCAGTTAACCGATTTTAGCTAAAATCTCAGTTAATTTAACTGTTGGGACTGGACTGTTATTAAAAATCTTAGTTGTCAGTTCACCAGGCTTTGCTGCTCTTCCTCGCTTAAGATTGCTTAGAGCCTTTTCAACCCCGTCGAGATTTGGAGAAATTTCGTCAGCTCGCCACTCGTGTTGCTTAGAGATAGTAAGTAACTGAAGGTCAGTTGAACTGTTACCTAAAATGTTCCTCCCGTCGGTCTAATCTGCTGGGTTGAGTGAAAAATAGTCTCGTATTTCTCCAAGATGGCTTTACTCACAGCCACATTTTTGATACTCGTTTCTGTGATAAGTTGGAACAGCAATCTACTGTTATCTATCGCTGCTGTTTTTCCCACTGTTTTGTTTTTGCTATGCACGACTGCTCATGATCATTGCGTGAGCTTTTTATCAACTTACTTTTAAGCTGCCTCCGCTCCTCTTCTTTTGAGCCAGATTGCTAGGTTTGAAACTATCACGAGTTCACTTAATCTGCGAACGAGAACAAGACTCGGTGACCAAAGACCAGTAAGCTAGCTATTGATGCGTCCCAGCCCCGCTATCTAGAGGGAGAAGTCCAAGCGTAGAATGGGAAGTATATTCCGCAACAACCAGAAAACGTGCGATTCAGCAAACACAATTTAAAACGTATATATATATATATATATATATGCAAATATGTATAGTCGATATTGTCATATAGATTTTTAAACATTCATCAATAAGTTCGTCAATCGATATGATAAGATTACAGAATGTGAGTTTTTGGGGGATCTATCGTCCCCAACACATAAGATATTTCCGAGCACCTATCAGTTTAGTAGACGCCGATGAAACCCACTGATTTCTTGCTGAGGCTTTTCTAAGTCCAGTAAGGTGCAGAAAAATACGTGCTCGAACAAGAACATAGTCCGAGTCTAAACATATGCTACAGAATAAGCGGCTGTTTTCGATCGAGCCTCTTCTGCGATTGCTGATGACAATATGGTCTGTTTGGGTCGATTGTGGGGTTCGCCACGTCAGAAGACTTCTTTCCTTTTGGCTTGAGTTGGTGCTTACTGGAAATAGATGACCACCCGAGCATAGTTTCAGCGGACGGTCGTCATTATCATTTCGCTGATCTGCAACACCGTAAGATACGCCAAATCGCCTCTTGTCTCAGTTTAGTCCACCTGCTTGTATCTGGGCCAGTTTTCTTGCGATATGGTTATTATAACTGTTGAAGAACCAACTATGAAAGCCCAAATATATTCAGTTGAGGACACGTAGCGAAACTGCAATCTCCAGCTAGACATTCGATTAAATGGATAGGAAACAGTAATGGTAGTGCAGAAACAGTTCTTACTCGTCTTGCTGTATATCATGAGGGCCATGTGGTTCTGTCATCTGTGTTGGTGTAAGGTATGGTAAGTAATACCATTATGTGTTTCTACGAGACCATATAATTTATTTGCCTGCAATCGTGACAACACCTGGTAAAAATCTGGATCGACAGTGTAAGAATACTAGGTAATGTCTAAATACCTGATATCGCCAGATATATTTCCAGTCGGCCATACCAAAAGGATGGTCAAGGATCACTTTGACACAATAGCCAGTATGAACCCATGCTGTCAGTGCCAAGTAGTTTAGGACATATTGTATACAATAATCAGTGCTCACCTCCTTTTCAAGTTGTAGTGGATAATTCTATTACCTAAAATAAAGACGTAAACTTTATAATAATATCACGTTTCAACCTAGAGGATACTAACTTTCTCAACAATACTTAGTCTGAACGTCGAATTAAGCTCAATATAGCAGCTAATGCAACATAATATTCCCTTATTGAAATCATGAACCGGTCTAAGTTAGATAACTATTAGAAACATTGAGATGGCCGTTTCGTTTTAGCATGGAACTTCTCAGTAGTGCGCATCCACAATCTCTTACGCGGGGACCGAACCTAAGACACTCGGTGTTGCACACAAATACAACCCTTAGACTACTGAGCCGGCATCCAACTGTTTCGCTGTTCGACTTCAATTAATCCAGATTTATAGTAACCGAAACGAGAAGATAAATATATTTACGACAACGTATGTGCTACAAATAGAACGCTTGCTTTCCCCGACTGGTCAGTAAAATACTTGGTGAAAATGAAGCCATTAATACTATGTAATGGGGATATTTTTTTATTGTATATCTTAAGACGGAAAGACATTTTTTGAGTAACCACAGTGGACACGATGACTAACTGAAAGATTCTTACCATTGATTTAAGAGCTAGTCGAGGATCACATTTAATGTTTGGTGTTAACTCTACATCAGCATTATTTTTTAAACCAAAGATTTGAAAATTCACTATTCATAACTTCGTGTTCAGTTACTAAAACATGCCATAATGAATATAGTTATATAATATACCCTTGTGGGTCAGGGTAATTTTACATTGATTTTCAGGACTACTAGACACAATCCAGACTTTCACGTGACAACCCAAACAGTACATCTCAATCCCGTTTAACAGGAGAGCCAGACACCGTATAGGCTTTAACACAACAATCTGAATAGAACAGCTCAATCCTGTGACAGATACCAAGCATTCTGGTGAACTATTCGCACCATTCATATCCACATTCACGTAATATGTATAGTTATTCCAGAAAAACCAATTTTGTGCATGAGCAGTCAGCAAGATTTGCTAAAGGAATACCGAACCATCCACAATACCAATGGCGAACCTTCAGTCTCCTATGAGACCCCCAGCTCTACATAGCCATATAGCTTAATAAATATGACTCATATAAAGAATTGGATGCATAGAAGCACATGAAAATGTTGGAAACCATTTTATTGACTTATACATTGAGATTTTGGAAGAAGAACTCATCAACAAAGAATATGGTCGTATATTATTGACCTCTAGGCATTAATTAAACTTTTGGCGGTAGGTGAATCTAATTTGAACACTATCAATTAATAAGCTAAGTGTTTACATAATCAACGTAAATTTATAATGATGTTATATAATTAAGCTTTTAAACATTATTGAGAAACGTAATACGAACAAGTAATAATAATAATAATGATTAATTATATTTGAGAAATGAAAAAAAAAACAAAACAGCGAAGTACACAAATAATCTTATCGTCAAGATTATTACGAAATCGTCAAAAACTCCTTCAGTTCTCGTTATTAAAATGTCAAAAACAATAATAATAATAATGACATGTACAGTTACGTATATGTATACGTGGAATTGTAAAAAAAAAACCGGTCTCTTATATCCACCCTCAAGATGTAGTTTTTTTTATTGTTCCTGTATTCAAGAATAAAATCTAAACCAAATAAATAGTAACAATTAAAGCGGAAACAAGAAAGACAAATTAATTCAGTTGTCATTACTATTATTATTATTATTATAACGTAGCATATAATAACGGGTAAATTAATGATTGTTGTCTTTATTATTTGTCATCAGACAATGCGATTTCCTTAAATAAACATTTAACTGTACGATTTAATTTAACAGCACGATTACGTAATGAATTGGTAATTTTGTTATTGTTTTTATTTGTTGAATTATTATTATTATTATTATTATTATTATTATTATTATTATTATTATTATTATTATTATTTGTTGAGTTTAGTAAAGCATCAAGACGTGTACTAAGTAAGTGTAATATTGCTGGTCCATGAACTGACGTAGTAGGATCATCAAATTCAAGACAAAGAATAGCTTCTTGAAGATATCTGTTTTAAAAGAAATAAAAGCAATAAATAATATGAAAATAAATATTTATGAACATTATTGAATAGTATGTACTTATTTAGATATAAAAAAAGAACAATGGATACAAAATAATATAAATGTATTTTATTTTGATTGAAAAATACATGTCAATGTATTGCCGAGTGTTTTACAAAGAATTTGGGATTAAAAGATGTCCCAATACTGAATGCTGAAATATTTACTTACGTACTCCGGTCACTCCTCGTAGAGGAGCATAGGCCACCTACCAGCATTCTCTATCTAATTCTATCCTGAACAATCCTTAACAGATGTTATTCACCCTTTTGATGTTTGCTTCCCATTCCCGACATAATAGGTTCTTTCGTATTCTTTTTATTTTACCGTTATGATTACAAGTTGGGGCTTGCTTCGTGACGCAGTTTGGTTATTTCCATAATGTATGTCCTATTGATTTGCAGCGTCTCTTTCTGATTTCCTCTTCAGCTGAAAGCTGGTTTATTCTTTCCCATAGTAGGCTGTTGCTGATGGTATCCAGCCGAAGGACATTCACTATCTCGTAGACAATTGTTTATAAACACTTGTATCATTTTGATGATGGTTATAGTCGTTCTCCATATTTCAGCTCCGTACGGTAGAACTGTGCTGACGTTCGCATTGAAAATTGTGACTTTG